ACCGGAGGACACTTGGCCCATTGTGTCACGTATCTCCGTGACAGATCTACCCGTGGAATGCCATTGTTATATTAAGGATATAATTTGTTTTCACAACAGGAGAATTTATCTAACACAGATACTAAGCCCAGAGCCTTATTATATTCCCTTTTCCTTCCTTGGAAAGCCACAAAGGCCTTTGAAGGATCAGTGCAAGAGACGTTTTTCCCATCTCCCTCTGCCAATAGAGCAAGCAAAGATGGGCTACACCTTATTAAAGCAGGTTTGGCCTGATGATCCAAACTGATTGGAATTTGATTTATATTCAAGGAGATAAAAACATGGATGAGTATCGATCCATTTCCTCGAGGTTTGGTTAATTCACTGTGACAGCACATGGACCACCGGTGGAGGACAGAACAGGCCAACACAGCTGTACAAATCCATGGAAAACAATAAGTGCAAACCCTGGTACCTACCCTGCCCACAAGTTCCTCAGGGATAATGAAAGATAAGGAACAGCCGGGCCCAGGTGAGTTACCACAAGGTCCTACAGATATTTGTTATCTTTTCCCCCAGGTTTAACCCCCTAATCACTTTATTACCATAATTGCTTTTTACTCTCCAGGCTGTAAATCAGCAGTGTACAACAGGCACTTCATCCAGTGACACACTGTCAGTCAGGGCTTACCTTTAAAATATTCAACTTGCTTTTAAAATATTTAACTTACTTTTAAAATATTTAACTTCTTCAGGCTACCCAGTAACTCGCTGGGGGTTACCAAGGCCCCGAGAAGGGTTTTAATTCTTAAGCAGATGTATGAAACTGAACCCCTTCTAAGAGCTCACATTTTGCAGGTAACCCAGAACATTTTCAGGTGTTTTAAGTGCTTTTGTTGGGTATTTGACCTTGAAAATCAATCAGCACCATAAGACCCTGTGCTATATCGAGCATATAGTGCCCAAAGGTGCATTTCTTTCCCTGGGGGTGGTTACAGGGGGTAGCTTTATATCAGTTTTCTTCAGGCTGAGCACTGAGGTGAAGAATTTGTCTTGCTCAGACCATCACATTTCATCTGTGGTGGCACATTTCCATCCCACAGTGAATTAAGTCACTATCTTAAAAACAAGGACCTGTCTTTCAAAACTTCCTATGCTGGGACAAATTCCCAGTTTAAAGGCTCATCACTTTAAAATTCCCATTTTAAGGGCTGTGTTATCTCCTGGCTCTCCAAGGGGAGCTGCAGTGGCTCTGCAGGGACACAGACCTGGGATTCCTTGCACAGAGAAGCCTTTATTCGCTTTACTAAAGTTATGCCATTTCCATTCTGCTTCCTGTTTCCCATCCTTCCTGTTCCTTCACGGAAACCAAGGACTCTACACTGAAATGTTCCAAAAGTAGGTGGTGCTCTCTCTCCAGCTTCTCCCCCATTCCCTGGGGGATTGGTAAACGTGAGCTGCGGGAATTGACGTGCACAGGGTTTATTAGTGACTAATCTGAGATCTTAACTCCTGAAAGTGCTGAGTTCTCAGATGTCTTCTTGTTCTATCATCCTAAGGAGCATGAAGAATTACTTTAAAAACACGTGCCAGGCCGTGTAAAACCTTCCTCTGGTGCACAGACAATAAGGACAGGAAGTTTTCCTGAAGGGCAGGGAGGATCCTTGGAAACAAATCCCGGTGCAGGTGGAAAAGCATTTGCCTGAGTGAATCTCATTTCTTTTTCCGGGGAAAAATTTCTCTCCTGTGTGGGTGACCATGCACAGGAACAGATTGCCCAGAGAGGGTATGGAGTTTCCCTCACTGGAGATATTCCAGAACCACCTGGGCAAAATCCTGTGGAGATTGGACCAGAAGACCCACTGTGGTCCCTTCCAACCTGACCCATCCTGGGATTCTACAACATGTTGTCACATCCCCACATCCTCAGTTAAGCTTGGGCTTTCCTGTGTGAAGATGTGCAGCTGCACCACTTCTCTTTTCCAGGATTTGAGACATGGATGATCAACTTTGGATTCTTCCAGCAGGTCACACAGTGGCAGAAGTGCAACCACAGCCTGGAGCAAACACGTCTCCTCTCGGTCACGGGCCCACCCAGGGCAGGACACACACCAGGAAAGGAGCAGGTCTGAGCTGGCAAAGGGATAACAGAGATTGGAGCAGCCTCTCCTTGCTGATATCAAGCACAGGCAGGCAGGATCCCTGCAGGGAGAGGAGCCGGGCAGGAAGCGGCCGCTGAGTCATGGGAAGGGCCTGTCCCCTGGGATCGGCCCCACAACGGCCCCAGTGCAGGAGCAGCTGGCACTGGAACACCTGAAGGTGTTCCACAGGTTCCATCACTCCCAGCTTAGCAAAAGGAGAGAAGGAGTTCTGGAAAGCTGTGAAACGGGCAAAGCCAAAGCTGGTCAAGCCCTGTTTGCACCCAATCCCGAAGGATGAGGGACAACGCTCCAACAAACCACGAAAAGCTGTGATTCAAGAGGAGAGACCTGAGGAACGTTGTGTCAGGGTGCAAAATGTGGAGAAGGTGATGGAAAAGTAACTTTCCCACTTTGGTTACTCGTTGGGGTTTGTGCCTCGTGGTACCCACACAGGCACAGCCACCCCTTCCCACAGCCCCGACAGCCGAGTGTCCCAAACCCCATCCCGTGTTCCCCTGGCTGTGTGCTTCGAGATCCATGTTTCCCAGCTGGTGAAGAAAGCCCCAAAGGAAACTCTCAGCTACTAAAAAGGAAAGTAGAACGATCTCAGCACGGTCACACCCTCCCCTCAACGCCTCACACTGATAGAACAAAAGCTCTAAAAAGTCATTTCCTGAAAGCGCAAAACGCTGCTCTGAGGCAGCGGGAAGGGCCATCCATGCTGGAACACGGGCAAGGCAGGGCCTTAAAGCTCCTGACATCACCTTTCCCAAGTATTTTGAGGAGCACTCGTGGTCTCGTGCTGCCTGATTGACTGAACTTGTGCTCTCCAGCACGGAAGTGGCCACAGGGAGCGGAGCCAAGTAGAAACCCACTAACATCCACATCCTGATGGTAATTTTAGCCCTGCAATTATTCAGCCCTCTGTTTAGATAAATATCCCTTGCTGGTTAGAGGAGGTTGAGCCAGCTGCATCCAGTGGGATCAGGGCTTGCTGTAAATCCCGATCCAGTTCAATAATTAGCAGTTTTATCTGCTGTTTTAATCATCAGAGCGTGAACTCTGGCACAGCAGGGACACTCCTGAGCCCTGGGTCAGCAGGACATGCCCCTGGCGCTGCCTCTCATTAGGAGAGGTCACGGATGGCATGTTTTCCTTGGCATCCTCCCTCTTTGCTTGCTGCTGGAAAGAGCAAAAGCTTCCTTGGAAACTCCTATTGACATTTTAGAATCACAGAATTCCCTGAGTTGGAAGGGAGCCACGAGGAAATCACTTCTTGCTTTAGTTTTCCAACCCCTGGCCCGGAACAGGACACCCCAACAATCCCACCTTGTCCCTGTCCAAACATTCCTTGAGCTCTGGCAGCCTTGGGGCCGTGCCCACTGCCCTGGGGAGCCTGTTCAGTGCCAACCACCCTCTGGGGGAAGAACCTTTTCCTGAGATCCAACGTAACCCTCCCCTGGCACAGCTCCAGCCATTCCCTCGGGTCCTGTCACTGGTCACAAGAGCTCGGTGCTTGATCCCTTAATAATTCTGTGGTCCAGGAAACCTCCTGTCCCTCTAAAGACACCAAAGTATTTCCTTTTGGCTGTCCCAAGGGGGATTCCTTTGCATGTGCCACATGCCTGCCATAAAAATAAACTCAAAATTTGGTATTTTTGATGGGATGGGAGGATCTGGTGAAGTCAGGTCCCCCAGACACAATCCCAAGGGAACACACACCGGGAGAAGATGGATCACATCCCCTGGAGACCCCGGAGTGATCAAGTACATCCTAGTGGAAGGTGTCCCTGCCCATGGCAGAGGGGTGGAATGAGATGGGCTTTAAGGTCCCTTACAATGCAAACCACTCCGGGATTCTGGGATTCCGTGATTCTGGTTTTGTGTTCCCGATGCCGCTTCCCTTGTCTCTGCTCCACGAGCTCAGACGGAGCCGCCAAACCAGAATTGCTTTCCTGCCAGCAGGAATCATGTGTGCACCCCCTGTTCCAGCGCCCAGGCTGGGAGGAACAGCCCTGCAGTGTTCCCTGTCCAAGCCTCTCAGTGCTCCCTGTCCCAGCCCCGCTGGCACATTCCCAGGAGCGCAGGGCTGGGACAGGTCCCGGCTGCGGGACCGGCCCGACGTGTGTGAGCAGGAGCTGCTCTGTGTCACCGGGCGTGCCGGGACACGGCTCCCGGAGCACCGGGGACGGACGTGGGCGAGCGCTGCGCTTCCAGAGGGGTTGTCCAGGGCTGGAGTTTCACTGATTGAAATTACAGGGAGTGTCCCGAGAGAACACGGAGTTGTAAACCCGATGATGCATCACAGAATCACAGAGTGGTTTGGGCTGAAAGGGACCAAAAGGATGATCCAGTGCCACCCCCTGCCATGGGCAGGGACACCTTCCACAAGCCCAGGTCGCTCCAAGCCCCGTCCAACCTGGCCCGGAACACTTCCAGGGCTCCAGGGACAGCCACAGCTTCTCTGGGTACCCTGTGCCAGGGCCTCACCGCCCTCACAATGCAGACCCACCATGCCCAGACAGGGATTTATCCCCAAACATTCCCGGCTCTCTCCCGGTTCCCCGCGGCCGGTGCCGGGCGCGGTCCCAGCCGGCCGCTGCCCCTTTAAGGTTCGCCCCGCCCCCCCGCGCACCCCCCGCGCTGACGCGCGATCGCGTGGCGCCTCTCCCCACCGCGGCCCCGCCCCCCGCTCTCTCCCACCAATCAACGCTGAGGCCACGCCCCCTCCCTCCTCCTCCCTCCGCCCCGCGCGGGGCGCGGCACCGCCTCCCGCGCACGCGCGGCGGGCGGGCGGGAAGGCGCGGGCGGAAGGCGGGCGGGGCGGGGCGCGGCGCGCGCGCGGCGCATGCGCGGGGGCGCGGCGGCGGCGGCGGCAGCGGGGCGGAAGCGGGCGCGGGCGCGCGCGGCCCCTGTTCCGGCGGCGGCGGGTGAGGGAGCGCGGCCCGGACCGCCCGGCACGGCCCGGGCACCCTCGGGGGGCACCGCCCGGCACCCATGAGCTGAGCGCCGCGGCCGCCGCACAGCCAGCAGCGGGCGGAGCCGCCGCCGCGGGCCCGGCGGAGCAGCGGGAGCCGCCTCCCCGGCGCCCCATGCGCGGCCCGCGCTGAGCCCCGCCCGCCCCCTCTCTCGCCGCCGGGGCCCGGCGCTCGCCCTGCCGCCCTCCCTTGGATGCCGCCGAGATGGGCAAGGTGCTGTCCAAGATCTTCGGGAACAAGGAGATGCGGATCCTGATGCTGGGGCTGGACGCGGCCGGCAAGACCACGATCCTGTACAAGCTGAAGCTGGGCCAGTCGGTGACCACCATCCCCACCGTGGGCTTCAACGTGGAGACCGTCACCTACAAGAACGTCAAGTTCAACGTGTGGGACGTGGGCGGCCAGGACAAGATCCGGCCCCTCTGGCGGCACTACTACACGGGCACGCAGGGGCTCATCTTCGTGGTGGACTGCGCCGACCGCGACCGCATCGACGAGGCGCGGCAGGAGCTGCACCGCATCATCAACGACCGGGAGATGCGGGACGCCATCATCCTCATCTTCGCCAACAAGCAGGACCTGCCCGACGCCATGAAACCCCACGAGATCCAGGAGAAACTGGGCCTGACCCGGATCAGGGATAGGAATTGGTATGTGCAGCCCTCCTGTGCCACGACGGGGGATGGACTCTACGAAGGGCTGACGTGGTTAACGTCCAATTATAAATCCTAATGGGGAGAGGAACTATTTAGTCTACAAAGAATTAAAGAAACAAACAAACAAACAGAAAAACAAATTTAAAAAAAAAAAATAACCCACGTGGCTTTCCAGAAGAATGATTCTCTACTGAAAAGTAAAAAAAAAAAAAAAAATAAAAAGCATCCATAGGATTACGATCACCTTTCTGCCACCCTTTCCTCCTGCACCCTTGGCTGGATTCCTGTTCTAACTCCTCCTGCTTGGCGTTAGGATGCTCTAACCTCGGAATGGGACACGAACACAGGCACTAGATGCTATGCCAGACTTCCAGCAAACAGGGGAAGGACACATTGTAGACTTGCTAAGTAACTTTTTTTTTGTTGGTTTTTTTTTTGTTGTTGTTTCCTCTCGATAGCCCTTTGCTGGTTTGAATTATTTTGGGGGGATGTTGGGGGAGGGGGTCCATTTTTCAGTGTATGCTTTCTGGGTCTACTTTTTTTGATTATATATATTTTATTTTTTTTTTCCTCTCTCTCTCACTTTGCTGTAGATTGCTACTTTTTTGCATTCCTGCAGGATATGTTGCTAGGTCGACTTCATCTAGTAAACTGAAAATTATTGCTTAAAATCAAACCGCAGTCTGTCTTTTTATATTAAGGACTTTTTTTTTTTTTTTTTTTTTTTTTTTTTTTTTTTTAAAGAAAAGTTCTGTTAATCTGTAACTAAACAGCGACTCGGTCTGGCTCCACGGCTCAGGCTAACGAGGGGAATTCTTGCCTGCAGTGGCAGAGAGTGGGAATTCCACTGTTAACGTGTGTTTCGAAGTGCATATCGGGCGCCGGGAAATGTAAGAACTGCTTTTGGAATGTCAGCTGGGGAGCTCTGCCCCATCATACATCATGCATGAGGAGGGGATGCAAAGCAGCTCCCCACGCCACATAGCAAGCGAGACAGGAACGATGTCCGTAGTTCCAGGTCAGGGTTTTTTTGGTCTTAAAAATGACGTTTAGTTGCAGTTTTTTTGCTACTTGGTGCCGGTCCCCCCGAGTGGAGGTTCCTTCCAAAAGCAGATGCAGCGTTACAAATGTTGCAGCGAGTTTTGCTTTAAATCGCAGATGTTTAGGCGAAAATCCAGCACTGACTTGCCTCTACCTTAAAAGGATTCCTGGTCCTTTCCAACAGAAAGAAGGAAACTGTTGTTATTGTTATTATTTTTCCATGTTGGAGCCTTGAGAAAAGGGGCGAGTTCCGCGCTGAGCTCGACTCGAGCCCGGTGGTTTTGACATCAGTTATGGCCATTTTGAGGAAATCACTTCTTGCTTTAGTTTTCCACGCCTGGACCGAGCTCCTGCGAGTAGCTGGAGCCTCCCGTGTGTCCCGGTTGTTGCTGTAGTCCTGTAGGAAAGGGAACTATGTTGGATGTGTGAAGCCCATTGAGTAACTACTAATGAGAGCTGGGAGGGGAGAGAAAGAGAGAGAGAGAGAGAGAGAGAATCGACGCTGAATGTAAACTTCCATAATTAGTTCTTAAAGGGCAAGCAGCTCGTTAGCCATGTCACAGCCTGTAGAGGTGACTGGCCAATCAAAAACCCCACCCAGGGCGAGTATTTGCATAAAAAACTCAATCAAGTATTAATTAACGCTGGGTGCACAAACTGTTAAAGCAGCTGGTTCTTATTCAGCCTTAAGGATTAACTTCAGATTTCCTCAAGGAGTTAGAACTCCGGTGGGGAATTCTAGGAATGTATGCTACAAAACCAGAAGAAAATGGCTTTTATTTTCCTTTTTTTTTTTTTTTTTTGTAATCTCTCCTTAATTTTTTTGTTTGTTTTGTTTTTTTTTTCCAAGAATATAAGTTTTACATGGAATTGGGGGCGTTACACTACACTGCTGCAGTGGTGACTCTGCATGGAGAGTACGTTGTATTATGGAGCTCTTACCAAAGATGTGTGGGAAGACAAAAATCCTGAATTCACTTCTGAAATCCAATGCTTTGCTCAAAGTCCTTTTAGAATATGGTTCCAAAAAGACTTGTCTGGATGTGGGTTGCAAATGGGACTGGATGGGTTCTTGGTGCTAGAAGATAGAGCACTGATGGACTTTGTGAGTTAGGGAGTCTGAAGAAGCTCAATGTAGAAATAACTCTTCAATCTCAGCCCTAAAGAAGAGGAAGTGGGATTAGTTTACTTTAATCCAAGGCTTTTTTGCCGTTGGAAAAATCATTGCTCTATTTTCTAGCTTTTATTTTCTTTTTTTTTTTTTTTCCTGTTGCTGTAACTTAACAAACAAGTGTGGTGGTATAAAAACTTAAAAAAAAAAAAAATACAAGAGTATGGTTACTGTTTTCTTCTGGAGCATCAATAAAATAGCCAAGCACAAAGTAAATGCCTAAACTGGAAAACTTGAAGCTCTATTAATGGTTCTTGAACTTTCTTAAACCTATTCTCAGTCAACATGAAAACTTCAGTAACTTCATTTTTCGTCCGAGTTGGTTTCCTGTGTTTCCAAGTGCTGGGGCAGCCTTTGCGTTGACTTCACAACTTTGTATTCCCTTAGTGACTTTGTTATTCTGTTTTTGTAGGTGAAAGGAAACTGCTTTTGCTTCTGGAATTTTTTTAATGTTTTGGGTTTGTTTTTTTTTTTGGGGGGGGGGGGAAGGAACGGGGAAGGAGAAAGGGGGAGAAAAAGTTACTGAAAGATGTGGCAGAGACGTCAAAAATAAAGGGCCGTCGGTACCGAACAAACCCCACAGGTTTCACTTCCAACATGTCCTTTCTAGGCTGTAGCTGAACCTCCACCACGAGGTAGTGGCTCACAGGCAGGATAAAGTGGGAATCCTGTACGAAACCCGGTGATTTCCAAACCCATCTGGAGTTCCAAGTGCATCGATTTGTGTCCGTGTGAGTTCTGTGGAGTAAGTTCTGAGTGGCGTCAAATCGTGTCCGACCAGTGACTGAGTTTGTGGCCTGTGACCCCCCTGACTGGAGTAACCAGGAATTCTGTGTTCTCAATATGGCTGTAGTGTTGGTAAAGAACTACTAAGCAGAAAAATAAAGCAATTACACAGCGGAGCTCTCCTGGTATGTTACTTATATTTAATTACGAGAGAAACAGAAAGGGGCAATCTGGTGGCGTTGTGCTGAGATAAAGAGGGCTCTGTTCTGGATCTCCCAGCTCGGAAGCCTGGCTGTAATTCCTTGGAGAATTAGATGAGTGACTATTTTTATAAGTGGAAAAGGATGGTGCTTCTTTAATATTCCCACTGGGCGTTTAATAATCTCGAGCAAATTTCAGTGTCAGGGTTATCCAGCCTCGCTGCCAGCCCCACGTAACTTGGGAAGCTGTTCCACAGAGGGGATTGCTTGGAAAGGGAGGACAGGAGGCCGGTGTAGGACATGCAGGGATGGACAAAAGGGCTGCTGAGTGACTCGAGGTGCTTGTGGAGCGACAGATGTGACGCTGGGGCTCTGTGGTGCCTGAGCAGGACACGAGTGAGCCGATAAAAGGACTTGGGCAGGTGCTGGGGCTGGGGGGGGGCCAGGATGGGAGCAGCGGGATACGGACACTGCGACAGCTGCCATCCCATGGGAGAGGCAGTGGGGTCACAGCCTGGAACTGGGCTGCTCAGGCTCTGCTGGCAGAGTCTCCGAGGTGGCTCCCACAGCTCCAGGTGTGAGGCCGAGTCTGGGAACTGTCTTCTTGTTGCAAAACTTCTGGGAATCCTCGGGAAGCATCGTTACCTGGGCTAGTCAGTGGCATCCCTACCTGTGGCAGAGGGTTGGGAATAGATGGTCTTTGAGGTGCCTCCCCACCCAAACCATTCCATGGTTAGCCAGCCAGGTGGGAGTCCCTGGGCCCAGGGGTGGTGGATTCCCCGCAAAGCCTTCTCCTTCCAGGGTGTTCAGGCTCTGTCTGCCTGGATGTCAGCTCAGGGTGTGGCTGTGTAAATGAACTTACTCTGGCTTAATTAAACTCCTCGGAGTTGGGAGACAGGGCTCCAGAGGGGGAAACTCGTGTCTCTCTCATTGTAGTAGTGAGTCACATCTCAAAATGCCGGCGCTTATCGGGCCGCGGGGAGCGTGACTCTGAACTGCACCCTGACTCACTCAGGGCTCTGCCCTCACTCACAGGGCTCTGATCCTCATGGACAGGGCTTGGAAAAAGTGTGCCTGCCGTTCCTAATGCGAGATTACCCCTGCTAATCCAAGTCCTCCTGAAGGAATGTGTCTTGCTTTAAAAACGTTGTCAGAACAACTGGACACGAGGTCTGTGAGAGCCGGTGGTGGACCTGTGGTTATATCCCTTCTCACTGGGAATTGGGAATGGGAAAAGCAACTGCCAGGAGTGGAGAGCTCGCTGCAGAGTGTGGAAGCAGCCTTGGTGTGAGCACTGTGACTCAGACTTCCCTCTAAAGCACAACTGTGCTTTTTATCTTGGATTTGCTTCCCGTATCTGTCCAACCTGAAGGGCTCAGTGTGTGGGATCCGAAATCCCCTCGGCTTTGGAGCTTTCTGGAACGAAAAAGAAAAGCTTCCCCCTCACCTCATGGGGAAGAATCAGCTTCCAGGGGCTGTTGGTGAGAGAGTGTCACCTCTGCTGACTCAGTTCCTCTTCTGGGGTCCCACGCGCGGCCCCGGCACCGCTCAGGGCTGTGTTTCGGAATTACGTCTGAGCCAACGCTCTCAGGGCTTCAGGCCGAGGTGGAGCCCCACAGTCCAGCTCACTTTCAAAACTGGGAGCACCCAGAGAGCAGAATGGTGTAATTTTAGCCCCGTGTTAGCTCTGGAGGGTGCAGGGCTGAGTCAGAGCTCGTGGGGAAGGTGGTTTTTACAGGCGGGAAATGGGGTGTGCGGCGGGTTGTCCAGGAAGTGCCTCCGCTCTTGCTTAAGAACAGGTATCTCTGGCCTCCTTAAAAAAAGGAGGGGGGAAAGAAAAGAGTCAAGATGTGACTCATCTGCTGAGTCTCACAGCGGTTTAACAGGCTCTGGCTCCTGCTTTGCCTCTCAAGTTTTCCCTTCCAGAGGATGCACTTCACTCCTCTGCTCCTGGTTTCTTTAGTTGCATCTCCCAGGACAGCTTTAGTTAGGAAAAATACTTCAGCAGGGTTTAATGGGTGTCCTGAGAGATGGAAGTTGGTGATGCTTGGAAATTGGTAGCACTTAAAACACTTTGTTTTCCCCGTGAGTTTTCAGGTAAGGACAACTCCCAGGGGTGCCACCAGCAACTCCTGGATCTGTAGAGGTATTCCGGTGCCCAAATTGCCCTTCAGTGGGTGAAAACTCCTTCGGTGGTTAAACAGAGGAGGGGAGGGAGCCAAGGTGTAGAAAACAGCCTGAATTCCTGACTGTGAGGGGGTTGAGGCCCTGGCACAGGTTGCCCAGAGAAGCTGTGGCTGCCCCTGGATCCCTGGAAGTGTCCAAGGCCAGGTTGGACAGGGCTTGGAGCAACCTGGGCTAGTGGGAAGTGTCCCTGCCCATGGCAGGGGGTTGGAACTGGTTGGTCTTTAAAGTCCCTTCCAACCCAAACCATTCTGTGATTCTGGTCCTATGAACTCCTAAATTATCCCTGTGTCTGTGCCTAGAATGGATTCCTTGTTTGTACTATAATGGGTGTAACGCTGCCTGGGCCAGGCA